CTTCCAGAATGTGTGCGATTCCGTCAGGCGCTTCCTAATTTTATTTTATTTCTTTTGAACCTTGAAAAGCGTATTGAACGAAAAATTCAATCACAATTTCAGAAAAAACAGCCGAAAACGTATCCGTTTCACATACTGTTGTCTGTACATACGTTTCTGCCGCACACTTTAGTGGGAAAACCGATCGTCAAAGTATCCGAAAATGGAATCAGTAAATGGACAAAAATCCGCACTTCATCTACTTTTTTGTCCTTTTTCGGATTGGTTTTCGGATTTTTTGCTGGCTGGGAAAGCAGTTGCAGGTTGTGAGTGTGTATGGGTGAAAATTTTCGAAGTTGAGTGACTGGATCGGCCGATCGGGGATTGAGTAGGTGAGGCATGAGTGACATTCTCGGCCATACCATGCCCGATAAAATGCCGCCAAGAAAGACCGAAGTGATGGGTTATATCAAACAAACAAAAAAAACACTTACAATATTTGAATTTGTGAATAATATTAGTTAACATATTGCAGTAATAAAGAAGTAATTAGAAGAAATTCATATTTTCGATTAAGATTTTCCTTTTATCATGAAAAATTTGATTTATTAGAATTGTGTTATTTAATATTCCCTATGATGTTGAAATAGAAGCATTTGAATTGAGCTTTGTTGGATTATGAAATGAATAGGGACACGAATTTCGATACGATACGATACCATATCGATACTTTTGCCATTCGATACCGATATTTTATACTCGATAGTTTTACACCGATATTTTTTGGAATCGAGTACATGAACTTCAGTATCGTATCGTATTTTCGGAAAAAATTCTACCAGTCATAAGTTAATATGAAACAACCTATGGTTCGCACAGACGCTACGTTGTAAGCTTATCCCTTTCTAATGCTTGGCGCGCTATGTCATCAGATTTGCGCCAAAAGTTTACAGTTACATATTCGACTTCACCAAAAGTAGCGGTAGTTTGCCAAATAAGTATTACCATGTATTTCGTCATAATCAGAGTTTCCTCTGTTGTTATTTATATTAAGAACACTTTTAATTTTTGCATACTAAATATAAGTAAAATCCAGTTAGAGTTATAATAAATCTAACATATTACGGAAGCTTGAATAGATTTGAAAAAAATATTAGAGAAAATGTTGTTCTTTTAGCAAGTTTTTTTACTAATTTATAATAAAACATTTTCTTAAAAGAACTTTGATTAATAATGTACTAGTTTTACTTGATAAACTCTGATATTTTGTTGATTTTTTAGTATAAGTACAAAATTTTTGTGGAAGTGTCCTTTTACAAAGCATTAAAAATCTACTTCATTTTTTGAATAAGAACAATACGCATTTAACAGGTAGTAGCAATGTCTTTAGTTTTTGCTTTTGCTCTCTATAATGTCAAAATCTGTCAACAAAGGTTGATAGCTTAGAGTAATATAAGCAAAGTTTGACAATTTAGAGACCAGATACAAACAATCAAA